TCCTCCTATGCAAACACAGGCTCTAAGGCAACCCAGAGTTTGGAGCAATGTCCAAAAACCTCTCCCTCAGCTCTTCTGTCCTCACTACTTCTGGATCCACACTGCCAATCTGTCCTCCCTCTCCTCCTGCTGGGGATGCTGTCCTAGTTGAAGTCTCACCCCATCTGATGTCCCAAGACATTAACGGGGCTGCATTTAGGAGCAGTCCTGTTCCTATTGCTGTGGAGAGGAAGTGTGTTTCCTCAGTCATGGCTGGCTCTTGGGGAAGCGACGGCGAGGTGGCGGCTTTGGGGAATGATCCCTTTAATTTGCAATGATCAGTGATGCGTTCTCGTCCTGTCTGCTTGTGCGTGTTTATCAGCGAAGCTCTTTTTACCAGGTACCAGTGAGCTGCTGAAGGCATTGGGGTGTCAGGTTTATTCTGCCCTGTTCAGAGCAGATCTAAGCCATGTGATGTATAAAGACACACCTGGGTTTAACTGCTCTGAGTTTACAATCTGAATATCTGAAATAGCCCCAGGAGAGATCCTGTCCCCAGGTCATAGTCTAGATACCAGATCAGACCCTTGATATCAGCTGCTCATTTCCTGAATTACCCTCAGCTCAACCCCCAGCACCTTGCTTAAGGCTGTAGGGATCAGGTCTGACCCTCACAGTCAGGCCTTTTGCCTGGATGCTCACCTCCTCATCTCCTCTATGTCCCCAATTCCTGCTCTTCCTCCCTCCTCTTCTTCCAGATCATCATTGAAATGCTGGAAGACAAATTCCGAGTGAAGCTACCAGACGGCCATGAAGTGGAGTTCCCCAACCGGCACAGCTACAGCAAGATCTGCTACATGAGTGTCAAGGGAGGCTTCAGGGTCACCTCCTTCAAGCTGGATTGATGGAGCTGCTTCCTCGCTCTAATAAAAACCCAAGCAGTGGGAGAATGCTTGCTCCAGCTGCTTTGGCTTCTGAGAGATCTCTGGCTCTGTGGCACTGTGTGAGACACCAATAAAGCCCAAGGTTTTTCCACCAACAGGAAAGGAGTCCTTGTTGGATGGAAATAGCTCCCAGATAAAGTCAAGTGCTTTTCCAGGCCAGACCAGGATGTGGGGTTGAACAGATGGTAGGTAGAGCAAAGCAGGCTGTAGGTGGGGTTCGGGAGGAGGACACTATGTGATTGCTTGGGGAATGGTTGTGCAATCTCTTCACAATGCACCATTTCTTCCTGCACCCCAGTTCTTGGGAGGGAGGGAGGAAGGGGAGGAAAAGCGTTGACATGAGCGATGTGGCATTCAGTGCCACAGAAGTGAATAATTAAATGTTAGGTTTGGGAACCTCAGGGCATGGGTTTGACAGGTTCCTCTTGGCTGCTCTCACAGCCAGCGGGCAGGAGGAAGGGGTGCCTTGCCCTCCCGCAGGAGCGGTACCACGCAAAGTGGTGGCACGGGGAAAGCAGCACACG